AGTTAGTGTGAAGCAGTCAGAAGCCCAGGTTTGTTAGTGAACCTGGGTGAACCTAGATTCCTTGGATTAACCTGCTGCTTAGTAGCTATGCAACCTTAAGACAGTGATGGTAAACCTTTCAGAGACTGAGTGTCCAAAGTGCATGCCAAAACTCATTTATTTATCATAAAATGCCCACACTGCAATTGAACTTGATTACTGAGATTTTAGTTTAGAAAAAACAACCCATACCTTGGCTCATGTGCAGACAGAGAGGGTTCTGCTTGCCCGCTGCGGCATGCATGCGATAGGTTTGCCACCACTGCCTTAGAAGATTGCTAACCTTTTGAAAGTTTAGATTTTCTTGTTTGTAAAATATTATAATAATTTCTACCTGAAATAGGTACTGGGAGAATTAAATAGACAAATACATGCAACGTGCCTGACAGAGTCAAATGAGGAGTAGTTTATACACACACACACACAGGCATACAGATACAGATGCACACACACACACACACACACACACACACACACACCACACACACACCCAGAACAATTATGAGGCTGCCTACATGTGAGGGTCTGGTTAGAAGTCTGGGATACTAACCTTCCTTAACCCTCAGAAGCAGCTCTGAGACCAAAGCTGGGGCAGTGGGCAGCTTACGGTAGCATCCCAGCTTCCGTGCCTTGCAGATGAAATAACTCTGAAGCAATGTTCTTTACCACCTCTGAAAGATCTCAGAAAGATGAAGACCTAACTGTCCACAACGGTAATTTGGACGCTACTTTTATGGCCTCCTTCCTTTCCATGTCTCATTTCCCTAAACACTATGGATTGAGCATCCACACCCAAAAATCCAAACTCTGAAACTTTTTGAGCACCAACATGACGCCACAAGAGGAAAATTCCACATCTGACCTCATGTGATGGGTTGTAGATAAATCCAGACACATTTAAAATATTGTATAAAATTACCTTCGGGCTAGGAGTATAAGGTATATGTGAAACATAAGTGAATTTTGTGTTTAGACTTGAGTTCCATCCCCAAGACATCTCATTATGATGTGCAAGTATTCAAAAATCCAAAATATAAAAAATTTAAAAACCTGAAACATTTCTGGTCCTAAGCATTTCAAATATGAGACACTCAACCTAAGCCTGGTTCTACTGGCGTCACCTTTAAAATAAACTGATGTCTTGTCTCAGAATCTGCCTCTGAGGGAACCCCATCAAAGATATGAGTATTTTTCCAAACTTGGGGGGGCCTGGGTTGTCAGGATCATCTATGCTGCCGTACTCCTACTTCAGCTGAGTTCGCTGGTTCAAAGGTCATTACTGTTCTACATGTGCCATCTGTCTTCTGAACCACGTTGAGCCAGACCTGCAACTCAACCCTTTGTCTCCATCTAAATATGCATGCACACTAATCTGTATTGGTTTTCTGTACTGCATCACAAATTACTGCCAGTTTAGACTGTAAAAAGCATACATTAATTATCTACAGTTTCAGGGAGCCAGGAGACCAGGCACAGCCTGGATCTGCCACCTGTTGAGTGTCACCAGACCTCACTTAAGCTGTAAGCTGTAAGATCGTCCATTTTCCTGTCCATGTCAGAGTCCTCTTCCAAACTCACATGATGAGAGACTTCAGTTTCTGTCAGTGGAGGATTGACATGCTATTCTCTTACTGGCTGGCAGATCCAAAAGGCAGCCAACAGTTACTTATTATGTGATAGTATATTTCTTCAGAGTCAACAGTGTTATAGGCAACTAAGTTAGATAAAATATTATAGGCAGTCAGATAGGGCTCAGCCCTTAAAGGAGCCAGTGCAGAAGACGAGATACCTTGCAAATGTGGAAGAGACAGGCACCTCAGCTGTGGGCCAGACCTCAAGTCAAAAGATAAAACAAATGTACCCAGATACTTCGTAAGGATAAACATCAGGGATTCATACTCTAAATAGGTACTGATCACCTTAAGAAAGCCAGCAAGAGCCACTAACCCAACCCATTACAGGAAATGCCCCTGTTCTATATTTACGCACGCTTGCTACATGACTTGCTTCCCCATTTGATCCCGATTTAATCAATTTTACCTGAGCAGTTATACTCATAATCTTATTGGGTTGACCATAGTTTTGTCCACCTCATGTCCACCTTGCTATCTCTCATTTTTCCCATCTTGGATTCACCTGACATCATGGATTTGCTCTACAAAAATCCCTAGAAAAGGCAGAGTCCTTAGCAGCCCACTCGGGTCGCCTTCTGTCTCTCTCTGACAGAAGCTTTCTTTCCCCCAACATATTCTGCTCTTAACCTCCATTGTTTCTAAAATTCATTCTTCGATTTTAGAGAACACAAACTCAAGCCAGATATCTAGCAGGTTGGGAGTTTCTTTCCCTGTATCATTAGAACAATCTATCCCTGTGGTTTGTGTCTTCTATAAAATAACCTAATTATGGGGGAGGCTCACCTATCACTGTGACTGTATTCCACTGGTCAGAAGCATGTATACATATTGCAGCTGAGTGCAGTGAAGTTTACTGAAAGTTTTGGGAAAGACGGGAGGAAGAGTTAGAGTGAAACAACACAAGCTAGTCTCAAAGTTTTCTTCAGATCCTTACCCTATTACACTCTCCTTCATTCCCTTTTCCTGTCATTTCTTTCCTCTCTGCTCTCCTCCCATCCCAAAACTCATGTTTGCTTATAAAGCAGAGCAATTCATCTTTTAATTATTTGACTCTTTAAATTTTTTAAAATTTCTGACCTTTTATACTGAAGGTCTTCCATTCTACTTCAAGTGGTATATGTGGATATTTTTCTTGCTAAAGAAAATTCTTTCCTTCAGAGGAAGCTTGAAGCCATTTGTTAATTTTTTTCATTCTGCTACCAAAGATAATTTACAGTTTAATTAAGGAGTCAGATATGACACAAATAATAGCAGGAAACGAATGAAGGAAAGGAAGAAAGAGTGCTAAATATCAAACCACCCTGATGTGATGGTACTAGTTAGGATCTTTCCAATCTTCTCCAGTAATATTATCCTTCTTCCCAGAGCCTGGAGGCAGAGGAACAGGGCAAATGCTTGAGGACACCCTTACATCTAGTGGTAGTTTTAAAAATGGATGTGTGTGTGTATGTGTCTGTGTGTGAGTGTGCTGTATCTTTTCTTGCCTCGACTGATTTTCTGTTTTCTTCTGTAATTTCTACTTGTTTGCCTCTAAATAACTTAGAGATCTGGGTCCATTAAAGATAGCATTGTAACCCTGGGCAGATTACTTAATTTCTTCCCGGAAATAAAGAAATGGGACAAGGTTATCTCTTACTGCAGGGTGACTGTCCAGAAGTTCCTACAAGACCTTGACAGAGTTGCCTTTTAAAATTTCCACACTGCTTTTTAGTTTGTTTTGTCCAGTTCCCACAGAGGTCTGCTTAGGATGGCAACTCAGTTCAAATCACTGGTTTCCGCCTTCTTCCTGTTTCAGAGACGCACATGCCTGGGTTTCAGCTGCTGGGGTTAGGGTGGTGCAAGCTGCAGGCCCTCTGGGAGCTCTGCATAAAGCTTGGAGTATAGCAGACCTGGCAGGCCTGGACTGCTGTGTGTGCAGGGGTGAGGAGCTGGTATCCAGACCCCAGAGGTGGTGCCAAAGGAGGAGGAGCCTAGAGCAACTGTGCGCAGCGCAGGGGCCAAGAGAACTAGGTTACACGGCTCAGAAGAGGACAATGCTCCCGGAAGCAGCTCTGCTGGAATGCTCTGAGGAAGCAAGGGTCTTAGTGCCATCGGTCAGACAGGAAGTCCACCCATTGTTGGAGCAGCCACATTATGCAGAGCTCAAAATTGGAGCCCAGAACCAGTGAGGAGACTGAAAGGAATGAAGAGTCATAATCCCTGCCCCAGAGAACCTCTTAGGCTAAGGAGATGGTCACAGTAACCACAGCATCTGGTTCAAGAATGGGATCCTTCAATACTACAAACCTAACCTAGTCAGACTTTGTCTAGTCTGTAAAAAGATTAGGTAGAGGGATGCATTCACAAAACTAAGACTGGGGTCAGAGGTGACTAGGAGGGGAATGATAAACTTTGGTCTCACCAAACTACAGTGATTCCTGTATGAATAAAAAAAAAAAGAAAGAAGAAAAGGCAGTGGTTTTGTTTGTTTGTTTGTTTGGTGTTTTTTTTTTTTAAAGGTTCAAATCCTTTTTGTAATCTTAGCACTCTGGGAAGCTGAGGAAGAAAGATCACAAGTTTCATCCCAGCCTGGGTAATTTAGTAACTCGGTAAGACCCTGTCTCAAGCAAAAGGGAGGTATGTGCAGCTCAGTGCAGAGGCTGTGGGTTCAATCCCTAGTAGCAGGAAAAAAGGATTAAATGGCATCTCTGTAACAAGGAACATACTCAACATTCCCCTGTATCAAATCTTCATTGGTCCTCCCAACAGTTCCTCCAAGGAGATTATTATTTTCCCCATTTTACAGATGTGAAATCAGAGGCTCCAAGAAGTTGTGAGTCTATTCCAAGATTACATGGCCACTGAGCATCTGTCCCATTGGCATCCCACGGACTTGGGGGGAGCGTATCAGAGTAGAATGAGGATGTGTAGCAGCAAGACAGGATGGCACAACTAGGCTATTTCAATGGTGACAGAGCCCAGGATGCTGGCTCTGGGGCATTCGCTTAGTCTTTGCTCTGACATGTTCTACAACATTGCATGGAGGTAGGGGGATGAGCAGTGTAGAAAGAGCTCCCTAGCATCTGTGATAAGAGAGGATCTCAAGCAGGCTGAGAAAAAGGGTGAAAGAAATTGAATTCAAGCCATTTCCCAATATTTATCTCTGGGGCAAAACTGGAGTCTTCCATTTCTTTGGCAATTCCCTGGAGTCTCTCACTTTCCAGCTTTTTAAAAGCTCCTCTCCCTTCTTTCTTTAGAGTTTATTGGAAGTCTGTCTTGGCACAGACCCTCCCTCTCAGGGACAAGGAGAGTGAGGTGTAGACAGGGTAGGTTGGGACACAAGGTCTAGAGGAGTGTGTGTCCCCGCCTGTGGCTTCCCCGAACCCAGATCCTCATTTGTGCTGGGAGTGGGGCTGAGCCCAGACAGGCAGAGAACCGCTGGGCCACCCGTGCCCCCCAAGAAGGACCTGAAGGTTATCTCCTTAGCAGATACTCCTCCAAACTGGGGATGTAGGGCTTGGAAACTAGAAAATGCAAGGTTTGAGGGAGAGGAAAGAACAAGCCCAGCAATACACAGAGCTCTGTGTATTCAGAGGGAAGTTGGCAGGGCTGTGTTCGGGCAGAGAAACTCCGAGTGGTACAAAGGGACGTGCTCAGAGTGGAGAAATCATGCTAATTGTCTGCACCAGAGCTGGAGAACGCCACCCAAAATGAAGAGAGAAAGGAGAGCCCTGTCCAGAGTTTCCAGGGCCCTGAGCCTCACTCCTTTGGTCTACCTGCTTCTGATCCAGCCAGGTAGGACATCCAAAGGGTAAGAAAGGGTCTAGAGAAAGACCCAGGGCTTTCAAAGGAGAGGGAGGGGAAAGTCAAGGGCTTGAATGCTTTGGGACGGGAGGAGGGGAGAGAGTGCAGCTGTCGTGGGAAGCATCTCAGTGAATCCAGGCATTAGTGTTGAATGTATTTCTTCATTCTGGGTGCCTCCCGCCCGCCCGGCCCCTGGCCCCCTCCCCCAAAAGCCTGCATGACTTTGGAGCTCCCACGGCATTCAGTGCATTAGATGGAGGGCACCATGCCACTTCTTATGGGATGACTCGTTGGCGTGGGCCAGTGCAGCATTCTTTCCAGGGGATTATGGTGAGGCTTGGTGGGAGGGGCAAGGGAAATCTTGCTTTTATGTTTCCCCAGACCCTCATCCTGGCTTCTTGAGCATATCATGAGCAATGAAAGAAGCTTTGGATATAATGAGCCTCCTGATTTGAGATAGTAATTCCAACCTATCCCTAATTCACTCCATGTCATAGACATCTACCTCCTGTTAGCGCCCCCTATCAACTCCTTGGAGAACTGATCTTATTTTTTTTTTTTAATTCATCTTATTTTAACACTAGTTGTATTTATTTTTTAACACCCACGCACAATTATAGAAAGCCTAAGAAGGCACAACTTAATGGAGCAAACCGATGCAGAGATCATTTATGTATAACGCAGGCTAGTATGAGTCAGATATGCAATAAAACATACGAATCAGAGAAAGGTCACATACCCCCATCTAGGAAGCTACTGTTACTGGTGCAAGATGAAAGTGGGAGAATATCAGGGGAAATTTCCCGGTAGAAGGAATGTCTGCACTGAATTTTAAAGGATAAGGAACAGACAGGAGTGTGAGTGGGCATTATTTTTGAGGAAATGGGCAAAGGTCAACAGCTTGGAATAGCATCATGTGTTTAGGTAGAACCCGGTAATTTATCACTGCTAGAGAGGAAAGTAGGAATTGAGTTAGACAGGAGCCTTGTAAAGATCTCAAAAGCCTGGAATATAATCTACAAATATGGATGGAAAGGGCAATTGAATGGTTTTTAATTTGGGGACTGGCAGGAGATATGTACATTTCAGACAGTGTACAAGTCTGAAGTAAAGCGCTGGAGGGGAAGCTGGAGGCAAATAAAATAGGAAAGGAAGCTTGTATTATTTTTAGGATATCTGCAACAAAGTGCCACAATGGGGTAGCTGAAACAACAGAAATTCATTGCCTCACAGTTCTGGAAGCCAGAAGTTGGAGATCAAGATGTTGCCAGGGCCATCCATGCTCCCTTTGACGGTATCAGGAAGGAATTTCCCAGCTCTCTCTTCAAGCTTTGCATAGTTCTTTGGCTTGTGGCAGCAGAACTTTAATCCTTGGGTGGCTTTGCATGTCTATATCCAAATTTCCCATTTTGTAAGGATGTATGCTAAAGTAGGCCCACCCTACTCCAGTGTGATCTCATCTTAACAACAGATCTGCAATGACCAAATTAAATTAAATTTACAGCTTTGCCAAGTAATTTCGTAATCTACCAAGTAAGTTCATATTCTGAGATACTGGGAATAGGCCTTCCCTGTACGAATAACAAAGGTACCCACTACAACGTCTTGGAATAACTCAGAAGAGAAATAATGTGCACCTGAGTTACAATAAAGATAGAGGGAATTAGACATATTGAGATAATATTTTGGAGGTAAAGTCAAGATCTAATGATTGACAGGAATTTAGAGGATCCAGAGAGGTACGTAGGGTTTCTAGGTGAAACTTTAGACAAAAAATGAGATAGGGTTGAAGAATATAGTGATCAGTATTGCACATGTTTAGGTTGCAGTTACCTTTCTGTCTCTGAGACAAAATACCTGAGGAAAGCAACTAAAAGGAGGAAAGTTATTTTGGTTTACAGTTTCAGAGGTTTCAGTAAATGGCTTGTTGGCTCCACTGATTTTAGGCTAGTGACAAAACAGACACATCCTAGTGGGAGGGCATAACAGAGTAAAGCTGTTTCCCTATGGTAGCCAGGAAGTGAAGAGTGAAAAGAAGGAGTCAGAGTCAAGACACACCTTTCAAAGTTGCACACCAGTGATATACTACCTCCAACTGGGTCTCACCCACCTCATAATAACCTATTAGACTATGAACTCATCAATGGCTCAATCAGATTACTTAGTAAAGTTAGTGTTCTTATCACCCAATCACTTCTCTAGGCCTCATCTCTGAACACTATTACATTGGGGATCAAGTTTTAATAAATAAGCTTTTCAGGGGACATAATTGGCCAGGCTGGGTGGCAGACACCTGCAATCCCAGGATACTAAGGAGGCTGAGGCAGGAGAACTATCTCAAGTCTGAGACCAGCTTGGGGGAACTGGTACATATATAATACATATGGCTTGTCTCTGTTTTTTTTTTTTTCAGCTATATAATAAAACAAGAAAAATGGAGGGACATAGAAGGGAACTTTTGCTAAACTATATCTCTGGTGCAATCACTTCTACTAATTCTATTGGCTAGAGTTCAGTTACATGGTCATACCTTACCACAAAGGAAGCTGGGAAATGTAGCTTTTAAGATTGGCACTAACAGAAGGATTGGACCACATGGACCTGGATTTAAAGATTTATTTTATGTCTTGAGTTATGACAACAATCACCATGCTAGCCTCAGGCAAATAAGTCTTTATTTTTTAATATTTATGTTTATTAGTACATATTTGCAGTATGTAATGATTACATTCCTATTGGAGTGTTAATAACACATCTCAATTATTTTTAGTCCCTTTCCCCTTCAAATAACAGTTTTTTTATTGTTATTATTATTCATATTTATAACACGTAAGTGACAGTCTTTAATGCTCTGGCCCTAGTATGGACAAATAACGTTTTTTTAACCTCATCACAATCCAGTTCATGGAGCAAACAAAGCTTTTACAGAGGCCAGAATGTGGACAAACCTAAATGCAGCTGTAAATTTAATAATCTGAGTTTCAAGGTTTTGCTCGCCGGCATCCTACAGTTATATATTCCTCTAGGGATCCAATAGAAACAAGTTCCCTGCCTGGGTGCTACTCTTTTCAGTCATAAATTCACCTCCATGTTATAGACGCTGACTTTTTAAAAAATTATAATTGAAAATCACCCATAGGAAAATGCGGTTAGCATAAAGATACAGTTTGATGAACCTTTAAAGAAGAGTGCAAACCCATGTAACCAGCAACCCAGATCAAAACAGAATACAGCGCTTTAGTTCCCAGAATTACCCTCATGGTATCTCAATTAGTAGTGTCCTCTCTTCATGATTTCGGTGGTATTCTAACTTCTAATACAGATTAGTTCTGCACGTCTTTGAACTTTATATATGGAATTCTATGTATGCATTTTTTATGTTTGGCTTCTTTTGTTAAACACCAATTTTGTAAGCTTTATCTAGATTTTTAAATTTTAGTTTGTTTGGTGTCATTGCTGTATGGTATTTCAGTGTATGAATATACCATAATTTACTTATCTATTCAACATTGATAATAGTTTTTGTTGTTTCCAAACCAATCCAACCAACTCAGCACCAGTGGGGCTTCATGAATAAGAGATGGTAAACCATTCTAACACACATTTCTCCTACAGATAAACCAAGTAGTAGAATTTCTTAGTTATAGGGTGTTTTAGTATACTATCAATTACTATGACAAATACATGAGACCAGGTAACTTTATAAAGTAAAAAGTTTGGTTAAGCTCACAGTTCTGAAGGTTTAGGAGCACGGTGCCAGCATCAGCTTGGTCCTGGTAAAGATGTTATGGCACATGGGAGGGAGAGCTCACATGGTGAGACGGGAAGCTAGAGCATGACTAAAGACTAGTGAGAGTCCCATGATAACTATATGAATCTTTTCCAAGGGGATGCACCAATGCTCTAAGGGCTTCCCACTAAGCTCCACCCTTTAAAGTTCCACCACCTCTTAAAATCATCACACTGAGGATCAGGCTTCCAAAACACAAATCCTTGGGGGAAACACTTATATCATCTCCAATCCAGAGGATAAAGTATATGTATGTTTAGGTTGGTAGACATGGCCTGTTTTCAAAGTGGTTGCGTCAGTGTAGACTCTCAGCAACATAAATGAGAGTTCCATGTGATCCACATTTTCACCAACAATTATATTTTCTGTTTTGATTTTGGCTACTCTAGGAAGTATACAATGATGTCAAATGATAGTTGTTTAACAGTGCATTTTATGACAATTACTTAAATTGAGTTTTTTTCATATTTTTGTTAGCTGTTTGGATATCCTTTTTTGTGAAATATCTATTCCAAGTCTTTTGCACATTTTTCTGGGGAATGGCTGGATTTTATTTCATATTATTGATTTGTAGGAGTCTATATTTTGGGTGTTATTATATTATAAATGCATTACAGCTGTCTCTTCCTGCTCTGTGGCTTGCTTTTTCACTCTCTAGTGGTGACTTTTTTAATGAATGAAAGCTCTTAATTTTATTGTGTTGAATATATCTTTTTTATGGTTACCACCTTCTTTTTTTTCTTTTACTTTTGATTTTTTTTTAAACAGAGTCTTACTATATAATTCACTGGCCTTGAGCTCACTGGATAGCCCAGGTTGGCCTCAAGCTCACAGCAATCCTCCTCCCTCATCCTCCCAAGTGCTGGGAATATAGGTGTGCACCACCACACCTGGTTGGTTACCACTTTCGTGTCTTGTTTGAGATCTGTGTCTGCTTCAAGTCACAGAGATATTCTCCTCGGTTTTCTTTTTAAAATGTTATTGTTTCCATGTTCATGTTTATATCTACAATCAGTCTACTTAGAATCAATATTTATATAAGGTATGAGGTAAGGGTCAAGATTTTTTTTTTTTCCCTACATGGCCCAGCACTATTTATTTGAAACAACAACTGTTACCATAGTAAGTTCAGACAACTGGTTGCTCAAACACCAGTACTTCACGCTGGGCATGGTAGCACACGCCTGTAATACCAGCACGT